CGTTGGATACAGGAAATGCAAAGGCAGTCTGCCGTCAGCTTAGGACGCGGGTCGTTTCCACGCCGCTGGAACAGGCCGATAGACAGTTGAGATAGCTCAGGAAAAGCGATTTCGCAGTTGCCCTCAGCTATCTTTTCTCTGACGTCTTGGACTGAAGCTCTTTTGCCCGCTGACAGGTGGCCGACCCGCATAAGCTGGAGGAGGAGCTCAAGATGCAGCCTCAGCTGTCTGGATGATGCCATGCACCCACAGCTTTGACTGGAGCGCGCACTCATTGCTACGCATCGGGCCACACGTAGCTCTTGTTCAGAAGCTTGGCTGTTGAACTCTTTGATAGGAATATACTCAGACAGGGACTCCCGAAGCTTACGGAACACAGCCTATATCTTAAACACCCTATCCCTAACCTGGCCGAACCCTACAACCTTTGACAAGTCATTCGCCCTTTTTAGGCGTGCTCACCTTGCCGAGCTCTTGGACTTCAAGCTCCAGGCTGAGCTGAAGAAGGCTCTGCTTTGCCACTCGAAGTGCTTTCCACGTGTACGTGTGTGTGTGTGTGCGCGTGCACACATGCTCTTATACATCTAAGTACATATACATAGAAATATGTATCAACGTATGTACACACACATTATATGTAGGTCTACGAACACATGTACGTTTGTCTGCATGTGCTCCTAGCACAATGCTGTGAATCTCCGTCAAGACGTGGTGTGCAGAGTGTCTATGTGTGTTGTAGGTATGTGTGTGTGTATATACATGTGTGTATATATATATATATATATCTGTATGTGTATACATATATGTGTATGTATATTTTTATGCACATATATGATTATATTTATATATGTATGTATAATACATATATATATAGAGAAGATGAAATCCCAAATGAAATCCCAAACGACGACGGAACGTACTTCGTCAGCTGACAACTTTTATAACCTGCTAAGAAAGCGCCGTCAGCACCGGAACTTTTGTAATTTAGCGTGCGCTCCTGCATGACAAAGGCTGCAGGATTGCGAGAACGGAATAAACTTTCAGCGAAAGTGTAGATCTTTGTCCTTGCGCATGGGTATGTCCGGTAGAACGACTCATCAATCGCTAGAGCGATGTTGGCGTCTGGCAACGATAGAATGCTTGAAGGAGCCCTCACATGAACTCTATTCTAGTTGTCGGCCCCGAGATGCCGTGCCTCTGCAGGCACAGCCGGATAACGTCCGAGACTTCGTGCGAGATTTCTGTCTGCGGATGGCAGCAGGGGCCCGAGCCGAGCATGTAAGAATCGTCATAGCGATTGTAACAATAACAAGAATGTTGTTGATGATGATGGTGATGGCAGTAATGACAACAATAGTTGTCCAATGGTCACGGAGCAGTAGACGATGGCAATATTGATAACAATGATGCTTGTAATTCGGATAACAGCAACGACAATAATCAGGATAGTTTCTCATGACATGACCATGGTAGTCATCATGATAATCATGATAGTCATAACGATCATGTTGGTGGTCTAAGTGATACGGTTTGCAATACCGATACTGATGGTAGTAATGATAAGAAGGATGATACTCTTGATCCATCATTTCCACAACAGCATATCGACCAGCCCCACAAACTGCAGGCACCCAACTTCCAGCATCGCCTCTTTTTCAATGCGCTGCAGGGAGTGCAGGGAGCTTGGGCATCCTCGTTCAGAGTGTCGTGTGGGCATCGCCACAGAGTCTCTTGCCTTGTCTTCTCGATAGTCCTTCTCCTACTAAGCTCCGACCGAAAGAGGCGAAGCTGCAGTGCAGCCTGCAGCTTCGGCGGTCAAGCCTTTCTATGTTCGGACGAGCTGTGTGACAGCGGGCTCGGTTTTGGCTCAAACAGCCTACAGCTCCCGCGAAGTCCACTGAGAGCTGTAGTTTGACATGAGTGGCAATGATGTCATCTCGTCCCAAAGACAAAATCCCTCAAAACCGGCCGGATAGCGAGATGCTGCATTTATTTTAATTTGGATCCTGAAGCACATCAGTTGGGGTGTCGAGCATCTCGGCGAGGTCTTGGAGATCGTGCCCACATGCAATCAAGATAGTGGCTGCTGCTCGCGTTTTCCGCTGCTTGAGGCCCGGGCATCACAGACTAGTATGAGGGCCTGAATAGTTAGACTAGGTTGCTTTATAGTCCCTAGAAAACTATCGCGTTAAGGCACCTGCATCGCTAAGAGGTTTTTGGAGTCTGGGTGTAGCTAGAAGATCGCTGCAAGAGGCTGGGAAGTCCATATTCTCGGGGCCTTTTCAGGGTTAGCTAGTGTAGCTGAATTATGATATGCCCAAAAGCCCGATTCCTAATTACTAGCATCCATTTTGTCGCCGCAAGTTTTAAGCAAGCTAAACTTGCTCGGAGCCATGGGTTAATGTAAGGGAAGGAAGGCATTCCGCTGTCGCTTGAATCTGAAGCGATGAAGCTTGGATTCCCTAAACCCTGGCATCCAGAAATCTTCCACATTTGCACGCCAGCTATCCCGGAACAGCGGCTGGGACAACCCTCGGCCCTACAGTCCACCATAAAAACCCTGAAACCTTCTCGTACTCATATTAGACTATGATCTTCTATGATATCTTATCAGTTATTTGATATTATAGTACATGTTATGATACTATGTTAAATGAAATGATATTGTATTATGTTAGATTATTATAGTACATGATATGATACTATATGTTATATGGCATGATCTTACATGAACTGATATTATAGTGCTTGTATTCCGAAGCAGGCGCTGGGTGAAGCGGGAGCTCGCGCGCTTCGGCCGGGAGCCGCGCGGCCTTGAGCCCTGGGCCGAGGTGAGAAGGGCGAAAAAAAGGGCTTCCGTTTCATATACATATCATATCATTCAGTATAATATAAGATCATATCACATCATACAGTAGACTATAATGTACCATAATATCATATCATATATTATACTATAGTATAATGTAGTAGAACTAAATGTAATGTATTGTACTGTGAGGTAATACTTAACATGTGGAGTACTTCGTGGCAGGAATGATGGTCGGATTATGTTCAGTATCATGAAACCAGCATTCTTGATCGACCTATAAGCTCACATGGATGCATACATGTGCAGACACACCCTTCCGTAGACACACACGCACACGCACAAAGAGTACTTTATGACACTGTGTTGCACTCAGCTGCTCTGCAGCTCAAGGCAGAACATCACATTGTGTTCGTGCAGAAATTCATCCATACATATCATGTGCGTGAGGGTCTCTTGTGCTCACTGATTCCTATTATGGTCTTCTAGGATTCTAGGCCTTAAGCTAATTTACTTTTTCATTCTCACAGGTGTAGCTGCTTTGGGATTCTGGTGTCCAAGGGCTTGTCATGTTCGGGCATTGGGGCATTCAGCATTGGTTGCCACATGCGGCCAGTGCACTCTGCGCTTGAGCATGCTGGTTCGCTTCTTTTTGGGATTCTGGGCTGCTTGGATCTCGGCGCAGGAGGTTGAAGCATCTATCAGCCCGGTTGCAGTGCCCAGGCTAGAATCGAGACGCTGTTCCGATCAATGCTCTCAAAGCTTGATGCCAGGCTCGCGTTGCACCGATGACGGCTGCAGCGTTGCGCAGCAACTGGCGTCGAGCACGGGGACCCTGCGCGTCGCATTCTGGGCTGGATGAAAACAAACAAGGTCCGACGGTCGGGAGCTAGTAAACTAATAAACAACACTATACTGTGAAATATGCTTATGCCTTCGCAACTTGTGTGCTCTCCCAGAGCGCATCCATATACATCTGGAACACGAGCGGCCGAGTAGGGGTTGGCTACTGGAGATCAGCTCGGCCGCTCTCCTTATATAGTCATGAACTTGTGAAGTCGCCTCCTTGTGGTATGCAGACACTACGGACGAGACTAAAGACCTTTGACAGATTGCCTCTCGAAATGCTCACGCGGAAGACCATTAGCAATGTGAACACAAATCTGTTCCGGACCTCCTATGCCAACGCACGATCAGGTCGAGGAAGCTATTTGCAAGGAGATGCCGCGAGAGGCGCGGCCACCATGCTGCAGCAAGATGGATACAGGACATCTACAATCTTTGGGCATATGTACCTATCAACAGGACCACTGCCTGAGTTTGGTTTCGACGGATGACCGGACAAGTCGGCATCCCTGTAGCTGGGACTCATGTGCGTCAACCTGTCTCAAACCCCACTCTGAACCAAGCACGAGAACAGCCCTCGACCGTAGCGAACACGGCAAGGGGCCCCTAAGCTCGAAGCCATCCCGCGTCCCTAAACTCTCAGCCAGGCTGGCGTGGCCTCGCTCCAGATCTTGCTGGAACGCGGCTTTGACCCCAATGCCGCACCCTTCGGCGTGTCGCACGGGTCCCAGTCTGTTGTGGCTACCTCTTGGTGGCTTCGCTAGAAAAGGCCGCTTCCATCAACGTAGAAGAAAGCATGGTTAAGGGCTTCAGGACTCGACGCGCAGGGGGGGATAGGTTTGAGGTTTAGGAAGTATGTGAAGCACGCAAAAGACTTCATCACAGGTCAATCAGGGTCTCTAGCAACTAATATGCTCTATGTAACAACAATATGTAGTTAAGTAGGCTTTGTCTCGACCCAAGTCTCTGGACATGAGGCAACTCGGTTCTCGCGTTTAGAACAATTCACATAACTGCTTCTTGTGCCCAACAGCAAGGCAAAAAGACTCAAGTCATGCACGGCCGCAGTGCTTTTTCGGACGTTTTCGTGAGATGTTCGTACGCTCAGACCTCCGACAGATCGCTGTTAAGTTGCCTGGCCAACACATTGCAGGTCATCATCATCATCATCATCATCACCTTCATCGCCGTTACTCTTCCTGCCGTGACAGCAACAGTAATATATTCGCAACGGTCAGTGCAACACGGGCACATGCAAAGACAACAGTGCCTGTGGTGCTTTACCAGGCCGTTGCTGCTGGCTTCGCTGTCCGGGACCGCTTGCTTCCTTGGGCTTCAAGCGTTTATGTTTGACAGGAAGGAAGGTCAGTTTTTGGGTCGCCCGGATTCGCCCGGCCTCTCTAACCTGCTGCATGCATCTTTGTAACCAGTAGCCGATATGCTCAAGCCTGACTGCTCATCGCAAAGCCTTTGCGTTGAGTGCGATGGCCACAGCCCCGGTCGCCGAGATGCACTAATGCACACGTGTGTTAGCCTTTGAAAGGCACATCGGCGATATCAAGATCAAGCTCAAAAAAGGGGAAATCTTGCTAGTCGGTTGCTGTGTTTGGCATCTTTCTAAATCTCAGCTCAGCATGATCTCGATACGCTTGAGGAACGAGTCGTAACGAGCATGCTGCTGGTTTGATAGTCTCGACTCACCACTCCGTCTGCAATTCAGCATCAGCAACGATGGAGTTTCAAGATCTGCCACCTGGATCCTAAGACCTTTGAACTGCACATGCGACGCAAGCCCCGATCGCCACATCAGCTTGAACCTGTTACAACCGCAAGCCCAATTCGCCCGATTTTCAGAGACATACAGCTGAGGCGGCACCTCCACAAGAGAGGTATCAGAAGTTGGACAAGGTCGGCGAGGGATCCTGTGGAGTCGTCTTCCGCTGCAGGCCGGATTTTTTTTGCCAACGATGACTGTGGCTGCGCATGCCATTTGCGGAGTGTCGTTTTCTTGCTGATGCGGTTGTGGCTGTCGCGATGCTGATGATGGCGACGACGATGACGATGACCACCATGTGGTGATCACGATCCTGATAATACTGGTAGTGACTATGAGATAGTTTGATGATTCTGCGGATGCTGGGGATGATGATGGCGGTAGTGCATCCGCTAGTGTGGCATCTTGTTTGGAAGACAATTGCTACACAGCGAACATACTTGCGTGAAGGCATGTTGTTTTTGACTCCTGAACCTTCTCAGCCCGTAAGCGGAAAGAGAGGTTTAGCATAAACGCTTCCTGTTGAGATTCCTTAGTTCAAGATGTCAGTCCGGAAGGGTGGATCCAGTGCTGTCAGGTGTCGACAGACTGGGCGCATCGTGGCGATCAAGAAGCCTGCCTTGCAGCGGTATGCTTTGACCTTATGTCATGTGTGCTCCCTACCATCCCTGGCGGCCTGCACAGACCCCAGCCATCTGTACCACAGCTAAGGAAGGTTCGGTTCGCTTACGAAGAGACCGCAGGCAGCGATGTTGCATACCAAAAGTTGCGTTTATAAGCTGGTGGCTTCAGGGAATGGTAAGGGCAGCGATTCAACGGATACATGACATATTATGTGTGTATATATGTAGATATGTACACACACATACACACACACACGCACAAATGTTTATACATATACATATCTACTAGAATGTATGGTCACTGCACTTATATACTTACATATGCATACTCATGCATACACGCATACATACACACATGTACACATACATGTATACATACATGCATGCATCTATGCATACCATACCTACATACATACCCGTGCACAGACCATCAGGCGGACAGGTCGCCGAGCCCGGGGTTTTCGACACCAAAGGTTTAAGTAAAGTCCTAGCGTTGCCATATATAGGACAATGTAGATCTTGCTATTCGTGTTTTGTGCAGTCAGAATTTCCTCAACAGAAGCAACACCTGCGAGAACTGCGCACGAGTCTCGTGCAAGAGTTGACCAGAAAATAGCTAGACTGGGCAAAAGTAAGATTATGGCTGTGCTGGCGTATGCCTATGGTACGATGTTTATGACATAGCGTTGAGAAGGTTCTGCCGATCATCTCAGGGGTTGGATGCTCCTCCGTGGCACTTTGGGGATTGCAAAGCTCCGAGCCTTGAGGTGCGAAGATAGGGGACTGTATCTCCAGGTTCATACACCACCCAATAGAACTAACTTCAAGATCTGTGTTCTATGGACGTGCCTTCCTCCATAGCTATTCGATGATCCTTCTCGTCGGGGTCCTGTTCCAGCTTTCCCTCGCTCCCGCTCTCGTGCTAATTTGCCCGGTTCTGCAGCTCTTTCAGTTAACAGGCTTTAGGGTCCTCGGGTTTCTCGGAGGTACCTCTGATGGCCCGTCCCTCCTCGGGGCGTTCGGGGCTTCGGCGCAAATACTCCGCGAGGCGCCAGCTTTGATTTTATCGTGGCGGAATCAAGGTGTACACACATGCACACGTATGTTCAGACAGGGATGTGTAGTACAACAAAGCGTCCTTTCGGAAATTTTTCCGCACCCAGCTTATTTGTGAAGAAAGATTAATCCAGACGCTAAGTCTCAAGTTCCCCTCCGAAGAGCCAGGAACTTCATCGCAAGTGTCAATCGCTAGCATCCAGCAGCCAGCAAGACTGCACCCTCATCATGCAGTAAAGTTAGGTTTGTTTGCAGCGAAACCTTGCTGCAGGTATTCGCAGCTCTTTCATGATTGTGGTTGGTCCAATCAGAGCTGATTATGTGCGAGTGTATGATGCGTTGGAAGGTGGCCGTGTTGAAGTCCCTCGGCAAGCACCGGGGCATCGTGCTCCTTGGCAAAGACAGTGCGCCTGGTTGTCCAAGGAAAAGTCTTTAGAGCAAGCAACAAGATAGTGTTGCAAATCTTGTATCACCGTACAACAAGATTCAAACATCATGGTTGTTGACGTAGAAAATCAGCAGCAAACTTGGGGAGAGCATAGTGTGGCTTTGATGATCGAATCAGGGTATCCAAGCGGATTTTGTCGCATGGCAGCATCGAACTCAAAGCCACTTGCTCCGAACCTAAGGAAGCCTCGAGCCCTCAAAGAGCAAATGGGCTCCACACAGCCCACATTTGATTGCCCCTTCGCAGAATAATCATCTAAAGTTGTACAGCAGAAGTCCCCCAAGCGCTTCATACTGAACCCAAACCCCACGTTTGTCACGGCGCTTACCTTCGACTCGTGGCCTAGGAGCAGCATCGCCGCAACCACCTCATGGGTGTAGGGCGGGGGTGCTTCGATCTCAAGCACGGCCGAGGCCTTTGCTGGAAGTCTATGGGGAAGCAGGAAAGCTCTTCATGGTCTTCGAGTACTTCGAGCGCGACCTCGCACGCTACATGCAGGAAGCAGGCGCCCTCTCCGAAAGTCGAGCCTCGGCTATTCGGCAACAGCTCCTAGCTCGACAAAGATGAAACCCAAGCGAAGAATGTTCTCTGTGGTAAGGGGTGGTGCGCTTCTCCTGCCAGCTGCTCAATGCCATGGCCCACTGCCACGTTCACCGCGTCGCGCACCGGGATGTCAAACCCCAGAACATTCTTGCGGCTGAGCTGAAATCGAATCACGAGTCACGAGTAGCCGCAGTGTCTGAGTCGTTGAATGCAAGGCAATTGTAGAGGTGTGGTATATTGATCTCGCATTCTGTGCCCTGCAGTTCACTAGCACGGTGGTGACCTTGAGGTAAAGCCAGAAAGCGATGAGTTGAAGTTGTGCGATTTCTCTTTGGCTCGCTCTGTGGTGGTACGGCCCACCGTTTCTCAAAGCCCAGAGACGCACAAGGTGGCCTCACTTTGGTATCGTGGCCCGGAGATCTTGTTAGGATCAGAGAGCTGTGGCCACTGCGGTGTGCGTCTCGATGTTTGGTCACTGGGATGTGTCATTGCAGAGATGCTGCTGAACGAGCCCTTGTTCCCTGGATCCTCGGAGATAGGCATGCTCTTCCAGCAGTTTAAGCTCCTGGGCACACCGAACGAGTCATCATGGCCGGGAGTGACATCCTTGGCCAACTGGTCAACTGAATTTCCAAACTTCCAGCCTGGACTTTGGCACGAAAAGGTGAAGAGGAGTCCGGGCATGCACCTTGGAAAGATCATGTTGACGGTTTGTTTGTGCTGTTCGTCCTGCCCAAGATGGGTATCCGTCTTTGTTCGTCGTCACAGCCCCGTGGGCCCACTCTTCAAGACTAAAACGAAAAGGCAGCAAGCATCAAACAAATTTGTGCAGGACACGAGTGAGTGAGCTGGGCCTGCAGCGACAGCAATAAAAAAGACGCCCACCCACCCCCCGCCCAACCCACCCCAAAAGCGTAACAAAAAAGGGCACACCCCACAGCGACAGCAAAAAGCAACGCGCCCTCCACCGGTCACCAGACTAGCATCGCACACAGGCCAGCGAGTGAGTGAGTGAGTGAGTGAGCTGGGCCCCTCGCGGCAACCCCAGAAAAAAGCGCAAGACAGCGAAAGCACCCCTCAGCGACAGCAAAACAAGGTGCCCCAAAGCGAGTGGGCCGCAGCGAGAGCAAAAACAACTCGCATGTCACAGCCATGGCAAAAGAATGGCACCAGACCCTGGCTAAAGCAAACAACAGTAAACAACATGCCCTGCAGCAGCAACAGCAACAACAAAAGCAACAACAACTGATCACACTCCTGCCAGCCGAAAAAAGGTAAGAAATGCCTTTCCACAAGTTTGAGAGCTTAAGCACAAGCAAGGCGCAATCTCATCTCCTCAATGGTGTGCTGTTGCCCCGCGCTGCGGCAGTCGGCTGGTGCATTGCTGGGCCACGGTGTCTTCCGCACGCTGGATCCTTCCCTGCCGCCGTCCGTGAAGTTCTCCTCAGAGCACGACAAGGGCCGGTCCGAGATGCACCAGCCCACAACTGTCACTCAGAGGGACAGACTTGCCGCGAAATCAGAGGACCAGAATGACCAGAAAATGGCTATCGAGGATGAACCGTTAGGACAGCTCTTCAGCTGTCTGAAGCGGGAGAAACCCGTACGGCCCGGGCTTGTGGAGACTGACGAGGTGCAACGGGCCAGCAAGAAGCCCAAAGAGAGTCAGAGAGCTTCGTTGTTGGATGAGTGGCACTTGAATACGCAGATCCGCAGGCCGCGCTGAGACGATGAAGGTTACATTGTTTCTATCACTCGACCATCGCAGAATTTGTGAGTTCCCACTGCTGGTGTCGAGGCACTGAGAGAGAGTGACCAAGGTGTGACTAGATCGCATGTCCTTAGTGGTGAAGCGACGCACCATTTAATGATATTTAATGTCTCCTCGATTGTGATGCTAGAAACTGCTGACAAAGAAAGCTGTGCCCAAACACCAGCCGAATTCAGCTCATATCCCGCGCCATGCCCATCTGGCTTTGTGCCCCTTGTTGCCAGATGCTTTGGACGCATGTCTTGTGAAGTGTTGTATATTGTTGTTCGTCGTGACGGCCGTTTGCACTCTGCACTGCAAATGCACGATGTCATGGCTCCTCTTGATGATTGGATCATCGGGGATGGCATTTAAGGCAGCACGGGAGAAGAGACAGCTGCGCCAGCTCAGGGTTCTTTTGATGGCACAGTTGTGTGACAGAGACGGATTCAGATGAGGTTTCAGAACAGCACCGTTGTCCCATGTGGTTTGGAGCCTCATCCGCAGAAGCACCCGGCATGTGATGTGCTGCAGTGCCCTTGCTTCTTCAATCTTCACAGTGCTGTTTTGCTAGATTCAGTGCAGGGAAGCTTCGGAAATCCAGGAAAGCCAGATGTATTTCTCTCAATCTCCAGAACTAATTAACCAAATCAAGCAAATAAGCTGTGATCGAAAGAAATGGAACGCCTTCTGGCTGATGAGGGTGCAACTGCAGTCGCCCAGAAAACCCCAACAGCCTCACCTCTTCTGCCGGGCAACAACTTTTAAGTTGTGTGTCTTGGAAGTTCAGTTTTCCACTGGCGTTGGTTTACCTATCGGATAACCCTATCCAATCCAGTAGTGGCCTTTCGGGGCGCGCAGGAATCTCCAGGCAGCCCAGTACCTCTACGTTCGAGGGGCCGATCTCCATCGATCCGGAGGTCCAGAATGCACAGCCTACGGATGTGGGGATTCCTTTTGTTTCAGACTTCCTTTCATGCGCCCGCAACTCACAGTATCCGAATTTCGGTAGACCTGTGGCACAGAAGTACTGCAAACCGTTGAGGACAGCTTTTGCGGTTTGGTTTGCGGTATGTGGCTTTTTAAGGCAGTTCCACAGATCGTTTGCAGGTTGGTTTGGAAGGTGAGGGGTTCTACACAGGGCTTGAGCGTGGAAACCTCCAAGAAATAGGGGAGTTTGTGCTGTATACCCATGTGCAGAGAACTCAACTGCCGCTCAAATCCATCACCACAGCCTGTGCGGAGGTGTTAGCCAGCAGCAGCAGTTGCTACCTATCGATGGGGCTTCTGCCTGCGGCTTTTTAAGCTGGAGGCCAAGTTTTTGATCATTTTTGCGGCAACAAGTTCCTGAACTCCGGGGGATAGGGCAAGTCACGCTTGACCCATAGTGTTCGGCATGACATGTGAGGCTGAAGGGTTGTCCCAGCTGAATACAAGGCCATAGCAATCAACAAATAAGATCTAACCGTCGGAGGCTAAGCTTTGGTGGCCGGGCTTTTACGACGGCGTCAGGATCTAGCTACACAATGCTAGTGAATGGTTAGCCCTGATCGGATGAGTGACCATGGCGGTTCCGCCGGAAGCAGAATTGCTTGTGGTCTTACCTTCAACAGGGAGCAGGGAAAGGAGGATTGTAAACAGTAGCGGGAAGAGACTATTGAAAGCACACTGACTCCGGCTCGCCTGTTTCAGACATAGATCCCGAAGCCGGATAACCTCTTGGTGCTGATGGGCTCATGAGGAATGGTGGGCTTCTTCCGGGAGAATGGCTCCACCGGTGCGAGAGCTCTGCACTTTGCAGCAAGCCGCGACCTGAATGGGGCAGAAACCCTTAACTTTTGTCAGGTATCCTGCAGGGTGTAGGGGTGATGTGTCTGCTAGCAGACTCTTTTTCAAGTAAATGCAACGCGATCGGAGAAAGAGGACCGGAGTTATGACCCACCAAGCCAGCACGAAAGCGGCCGAAAGCCTCTACACGTCTGCTGCATCTCCGGGCGGTCCCCGTGCCCGCAAACTGCCGAGCCTGGACCAACAGTGCAAGCTCTGAGCCATTCCGTTCCAGGTGGTGGACACCTGGACGTTTGCCGCTACCTTCTTAGAACGGGCGCGGGGGACTTACCGCCATGTCGCCACCAAACTGTATTCAGTGTCATCCTGATTCAATACAGGTCTATGGCCCCTTCTCTTGGCTTAATGGTATAGCAGCGTCCTGGGGTTGAGGTGTTCATGCCAGGCTCTTCGGGTTCGTTGCCCTTTCGAGAGACATGCATTGTGCTGATGCAGAGACTGAACCGGGTTTCAGCCCGCCCCGTCCAACAAATGCACTGGGCCATGCAGTGACCCAAACTGCTGCACCCGCTAGCAACATCCATTGCTCGAACCAAAGCATCAGCAATGACGGACTTGCTACAGTCTAAACCTCAGCGCCGTTTTTGAATAAGACTGTATGCCCTGAATTGAAGAAGGTCTCTCTCTCACAGTACCCCGAGTTTGCTGGGCCCTAGGTGAGCCCCGACTTGAAGGCCGACAAGGGGCTGTCGGCGTTTACGCTGGCAGTGCTGTGTCCTGGCTCCGCTTTAGGGTATATGGGATATACTTAGGGTTAACAGGTTTAGGGCTTGGGGGCCTGTAGTGTATAGTAATTTAGATCAGCTGGTTTTTGCTCGCTTGGTGTGCA